CGTTACATATAGCACATTGTTAGATTCTGTTTGCTTGCCATTTTTTTTCTCATTTTTAGAAGAAATTAGACCGTTGATGGGCCCCACCTGGCCCTTTTTTGACTGGCCTCTCACATTGTGGGTGAGTTGCAGGCTTCCAATGGTAAAAAAACTCATTATAATATGGAAAAAAATGGGAAACAAACATGCACTTAAAATGGAATTGAATTACCTCAGGTAAAAAAACTCATTATAATATTGAAAAAAATGGGAAACAAACATGCACTTAAAATGGAATTGAATTACCTAGGGCCTTAGAAGAGCATTTTAACAAGTGCAAACTTTTATTTCACAGCATTTGATCATAATGAAGATTCATTTGAATTTTCTTTAGGGTCATATTTTACTTTAATGACAACTTAACGAGGAATGGTATCTAATTTTCCTTTCCTTTCATATTTGAACCTCTGGTCAACAGTGCAACATCAGGTGGCATTCTTGATAGAGCTATTGAAGCAGAAGATAGGAAACATGGAGACTTTTTGAGACTGGTATCGTCATTACTTCTGGTTTCACTTGAATATATTTTTTTTTTTTTCTCTGAAGTAGTCTGATGAGAAAATAGAGGTCTCAAATCTTCATGCACCATTTTGTGTGGAAAGCCTACCTGTTTTACATCAAATCCCCCTATCCACATGTTGCATGGTACTGTTAAATATACAATGAAGTGTTACTGTCTTGTTAATACTTTATTGTCTAGGAACATGTTGAGGGGTACCTGGAACTATCTGCCAAGACAAAGGCCTATTTTACTACTGCAGTTGCTCTTTGGGATGCAGATTTCTATGTCAAAGTTGATGATGATGTACACGTGAATATAGGTAATGCTGATATTCTTCCTTTTAAAGTTATCTTGTCGATATTTCGATTTTAATCTTACATAAATTCCATCTAGGATAATATTTATTAGTTTCTCATTTTTCTTTGTTTTATCTTTATGGTGCCTTTTTGCTTGCTTGTCTGGTGAAAGAAATCACCAAGCACGACATTAACTTTCCCTCTTTTTTGTTATTGGTTTAGCTGTATTTGGCGAAGTATTTATTTATTTATTTTTTACTTGGTAACGCAAACCATGTATCTTTGTCACGTTTCAACCACCAAAAGGGGTAAAAGAATTTTTTGTAGTCTGCTCTGTGTACATGTTTCTTAGTGCACCCACTTAATGATTTATGGAAATGAACTGTAGCAACATTAGGAGCAACACTAGCTCGGCATCGCTCAAAACCAAGGGTGTATGTTGGATGCATGAAATCTGGTCCTGTACTTGCTCAAAAGTAAGTGTAGACTTCCTAAAAGTTTGTCTCCTTGTAAATACCATTGAGATGCAATTCGCCTTATATTTCTTTCTTGGCTCGTTCGTTACTGTTCATTTTTGCCATTTATATTAACAGGGGTGTAAGATATCATGAACCGGAGTCCTGGAAATTCGGTGTGCCAGGAAATAAATATTTTCGTCACGCTACAGGACAATTATATGCCATTTCAAAAAATTTGGCTACTTATATATCAATAAACCAGTGAGTGTTTGTTTTCCTTGGATTTTTTGTGCCTTTCTATACTTCTACTATCTTATTGACTTGAAGTTTTAATTATCCTAGGCACCTTCTGCACAAGTACGCAAATGAGGATGTTTCGCTGGGGTCTTGGTTCATTGGATTAGATGTGGAGCACATAGATGACAGGAGATTATGTTGTGGAACACCCCCTGGTAAAATTAACTCACTTTAACTCACCTCCCACCCCTAAAAAAAATAATAATAATAAGAAAAGAAAAAACAAAGAAAGAAGGGAAAAACCCCAAATATTGAGACATCAGCTTCGAAGACTGTGTGTTAGAAATTAGTCTATATTAGAACGGCTGTATGACTCTTTAAGGCAGTGAATTTTCCAATGTACGTATGTCTTCTTTGGAGAAGATCCCTTTACAGAGGCATATAGTTCACTGCATATCCATCTCATGGATACTAGCCAAACTTGATTATGCCATGGCATACTTACGTTTGAGATATTGTCCGCAAAACAACCAAATACCTGGCCGACCACTTTAACTTCAGATCTACTAAAAGATTCATCATCCTTTTCTTTTCTTTTTTTTGACTGATACCCAATGTATCTCCACTTGCACCTAGATAATCTCAATTCCGTACATCCAAGTGAGCCATTAGAACTTGTGAACGTCTGTTGTTAGTCGAATTCCTTCACTCAACAAATATATACGTTTGTACTTACAAAGCTGCTTGGATCCTGTTGCTGAATCTGGTTGCCTGTCAATTCTTCTTCGATCTTCTGGGATGCCAGTGGGCTGAGTTCCTACAATGGTTCTTTCACTCATAGGTTTGTTAAACAAGTCACCATTAAGAAGGAATGGTGACAAAATATGTAAATACAAAAACTTGGTGGCCCATCTACCACAAGAGAGAGAGAGAGAGAGATGCGAAGAAGTTTAAAATCTTATTTCTGACTAAGACTTCATTTTTTATAGATTTGAAGCTTTAAAGTCCTTTCTCTGTTTTACGGAATTACTTAATCCTCTCTTAAAAAAATAGTAGATTGTATTCAATGAACGGAAGCATTCTTAGCCACATATTACTCCCAAAAGTAAGAAGAAACACATAGACATCACATTGTATGATTGCTAATTTCCTTGACTATGTTGACTTTACTACAGATTGTGAGTGGAAGGCTCAGGCAGGCAACATCTGTGTTGCTTCCTTCGATTGGAGCTGCAGTGGCATCTGCAATTCTGCCGATAGGATCAAGGAGGTTCACAGACGATGTGGGGAAGGTGAGAAAACTCTGTGGAATGCAAATTTCTGATTTGCATTGACTTCTCCAATCTCTGGAATTTACAGACTTTCTGGGAAAGCCGAGAACACTTGGTGGTTGTAGAGTGAAAATGCACCTTTTTGTCCATCATCTGGAAGTCTTTTCTTTACAAGACAGATGTAAATGTGATATAAAGATAGAAATAGAGGTTGCATTCGAAATTTGCTTCATTGTAGCATAGGAGACAGTTCATTGTAGCAACTCTATCTGGAGCAATGTAAACACATTTTTTTGCCATGCTGTAACATCCATATATTTGATGATCATTATGGCTTAGTGGAACTCATAATAAGTCTGTATTCTAAAGCAAGCTGTTACTGCCTTTTTTGCTGCTTTTACATTATAGTTTGTCTTTCACATGTGAACTTTTTAGAGGCATATTTCTTTTCTTGATTATTCAAATTTCAACTCATCTGAGGATGAAAGCTTGTGATTTTTTACTGATCACAGACATTTTAATTTGCTATTCCTATTTTTGTTCTTTTACAAAATTGTTGTTATCATCAGGGTGCCGAACACGTGATGGATTTTATGAATGTCTTAACAAGGCGCAGAACTTTGAGTGAAAATTGTGAATGTCTTAACACAGCGCACAACTTTGAGCGAGTGTTAGGCAAAGAGAATTTGACAGAAGAAGAAAATTAAGGTTATAGGTTCATCCCATATTGACGAAGGATTCAATTCACACACAAACTGGAAAATGCACATAGTTTGTGAGTTTTTTTCGGAGTGAATGTTTGATAAGAAAGATTTGATAATATTGACAAAGAAAAATGAGCTTATGGACTCTTTCCATGTTGAAAAACGTCACAGAACCTGACCCGATTTGCACCACTAACAAAAAAAACTTGTAATTTGTGATTTTCTCTATTATTTTTTGTATTTTTATTCTTTTGATGGGTTACGGGGAGATAAGGTAATTGATTTCTGCTGAAGAACAATTTTCTCTGTATCAAGCCATACCCTTGCAGGCAAGTCAACATCTCTTGATGGGGGTATCAGATGTAAACAAATGCCTAAAAGCCGTGTAATATTTGGCATTTGTTTGGTTTAGCTAAAAGTTTATTTTTCAGTAAATTTGAATAAAAATTTACTAAATATGTAATTCCATAAAATATATGGTCGAAATAGATTTAAGAAAAATGGATAAATCCAAATTCTTCACCAACCCTATCTAGCATGATTCCTCTTGTGAAAAAGCTAGCCCACTAATTCTCACTCTTCCCACTCAATCAGCAACCTGTCTCCACACTATTTCAAGCTGACGCTTTTTCTCCTCAGAAAATAAGTTGAAATCTGAAAAGCCCACAAAATCAAAAACTTGAAAAATGTGTATATAATTCCATTTGTCCACTGATATAGCCCTCATCATACCATACAGTTCCACCATCTCTTCACTTCATACTGTTCCTTCACTTCAGTTCTTGAAAATATGAGATTTCTTGGCAATGAAGTTTCCAACCTAAGACTCGTAGATTGTTCTCTTAGAATGTTTGTTGTTCCTTTGAGTGTTGCATCCATATGGCTAACTGTCACCAACCAGCAAGATAACAACATCTATGGAAAAGTGGAGTACAGTAATTTCATTGGACTCAAGTAAGAAATTGAAATTCCCGATTCATTATCTGTGAATAATTTGTATCTATTATTGTTGGATATAAATTGTAAATTTACATCTTTGGGCAGGTACATGGTTTGCATCAGTGCAATATCTGCAGGATATGCCATTTTTGCTGTTGCTTCCTCATGGGTCAGATGCCTAATGACTAAAACATGGCTTTTCTTTGTTTCAGATCAGGTTTTCACTTCCACTAGATCTAGTTACATACAACTTATTGAACCATCATTTCAGATGTTAAATGACACGTTTATTTATTTAAATTTAGTTTTCAACGAATCTTTTGCAATTTGGTAGATTGGTGATAACAAGACTTGATTTCGATATTTGCGTGTCTACTATTCCATCATCTAAAAGCTCTGGAAGTCAAAAATTGTTTCTAAAACTAAGAAAGTGCTCTTGGACATGTTTAAATAATTTTAAGAAGGTGCTTTATTTGATTAGAAGAAGCTTTCAGAAGCAGAAGCAAAAGGGAAATTCAGTCAAATGGGCTCTAAGAGTTTAAACGTTTAAAGAAAACGCGTTCATTTTACGGAGTTTATTTTAACAGAAACTACATTTTTTGGATCTTGATTTTTATGGTGGGACATCTTTAAAAATCTTTCCTGTAGGTCCCACAATAAGAAATCTCAATTAAAAAGCAAGAATTTATATTTATCTTTTTATCCTTATATATTGTATGGGTTGTTCATGATCACACAGATGCTAGCATATTTAACGGTGACATCAATGGCTGCATCGGTGGAGTTTCTTTACTTGGCATATAATGGGGATCAAAAAGTGACATGGAGTGAAGCCTGTGGTTCTTATGGAAAGTTCTGCAATAGATTGAAAACAGCTTTGGCTCTTTATGTTATTGCAGTTTGTTGTTTCCTTGCATTGGCTGTAATCTCAGCTTATAGGGTCTTTAGGAGATTTGAGCCTCCTTTTGTTCCTTCTAAGGAAGCTGGGCAAGAAAGGACTTAAAAAGTTGTCCCTTCTGAGTGTACATTTGCACGATATGAATATGAATGTTACTACTCATGTTCAGTATTGAAATAAGGTCTCTGTTAAATATATGTTTGATACGTTGGATAGGACACGAGACATGATTGAGAAAGAGTCGAGTCTTCTTAGTTATAATGTTTTCTAGATTAATATTGCATTGACATCCAAATAAACGGCACCATTGTATGGTTATGGTTTTTTACATCAACCAACCGAATAAGTAATAGCCGCCTTTTTCTTTTGAAAAAAGATCGGGCTTGTGCATAGGCTTTGTAACTGATTTGAAATGCTATACTCGATTTTTTTGCCATGGAACATTTTAAATTCGAAAGATTATAATTGCTAAATTTCACATTAGTCTCTTATATGAAATGACTAGATAGAGAAAATTCGTATAAGAGAATCATTAAAAACGAAGCATGTCAAATCGTGATTCTAGTTATAAATAGTTATAGTGAAATACAATCTAAATCAAATAAAGACTTCTAGAATAAGTAGAACAATGGTCTAGATAAGACCAAATAGTCATAAGTCATGATTAATTAGTCATCAGCATGTTTTATATTTTCTAATTATCGAGTTATTAATTATTTATATTTGTTATTTGAATAAATTACACTATTGATACCTAACCTTTGTGCAAAATAGCAGACCTATCCCGGAATTTTTTTTTTTTTTTTTTGTCCCCAACTTCTAAGAAATTAGTAGATTCTTTGTTTAGGATTGACTATTAGGAACTTGTAGAAAGGATAATGATAGGGATTACAAAATGTGTGATAATTCTAATAAATAATTTTGAATATGGATGAAATTAATTTTTGATGCTGAGTAGTTGAAGTAACTTTTAAGTTACTAATAATATTACACAAACAAAAAGAAACAAAGCAAAGAAAATATGAATAAATTAAAATATATAACAAAGAACAAAAAAGGGAAAAGAAAAATCTTCCATCTCGATCCCAGGCCTTGAACCCTTGTCATGTAAACAAGAGAAATATTATGTGGCTAGGCGATGACGTAAACAATAGAAAGCTAACCTGATTACGCAGGCAATGGATGGAGTTGGAAAAAAATGTTTTTAATTTTTTTTTCCTTTTTCATTTGGTCTTTTGCTTTTTTTATTTGTTCTTTAACTTTTTCATTTTTTGGTTTATTTATTTATTTTGTTTAAAGAGTAAGATTGTCATTTTACACAAATTTATTAGATTTTTGAATGAAAATATCAACATGGGCTAGGTTTGCTAATTGTTCAAAGGTTAGAGAAAAATATTGGGCAAAAGAAGATTGGGGTAGGTATGTTAATTTTCTCAAAAGTTGGGGACGAGTAGTGCAATATACCTTAACACAAATTTTTGTGCTATTACCCTCTTACCACGTTTTCGTCACGGAAAGGATAAGTTTCCTTTTCTTATAAATTAATTATTAATTTTCTGTTTTTTCCCCTCGACTAACAAACCCTAGAAATTGCCCCTTCTCTTTTGCCTTCGTCTCGCAGTTGAACTAATCGTCCGAATTGTAGCTTTAACGAGTCGCAATGGCCAAGAGCTCCTTCAAGTTGGAACACCCACTCGGTAAATGCACTGTTACCTTTTTTCTCCGGTTACCTGCTCGTTGATTAACGCCATTTTCGAATTTTGATTCTTTTGCTTTGATTAATGGATTGCATGTGATTAATTTGGAGCAATGTTTCTTTTGAACTTCTGTGGCGTGAATAATCTTTTTTGTGCGTACTTGTGCAAAATTCATATTGAATGGGACTTGGTTGAGTGAAACTTTTCGAATATGGTGTGATATGTTTGTTTTTTTGCTATTTGTATTGTTGCACGAGAGGAAATAACTGTTAGATAAAAATTCACAGGATTGGAATAGAGATCACAAAATATAAATCGAAAACACCAAAAACAATATAATCTCGAACTTGTATCAATGAATGGCTTGAACACGATATTGTTGTCCTCAAACGATATTTGCGCCTTCTCCTATGAATTTGAGATGCTTCGAAGATTGTTGGCAAATGGTTTGCAGGATTATAACAAGTCTCATAAGGATTTAAACATCAAAACACAAGTGCAAATCCTAGAAAATTTGATGAACACAAATGATAAATATGAATATGGCTTTTAAAGACTTTGATATTTGATTTTGGAAGTAATATGGAATCTTGATGGTTTTTTGTACTGTATTTGCCTTCAACATGAATCCAATATGTATAGGCATACACCACATTCACGAAATGGTACCAAACTTTAAGGCAAAAGTCATCAATTTTGAATTTACAACGGGAGAAGACGGCCTCCAACAGCCAAATAAATATATAGTCGTGAGGTCGCATGGACCAATTTATTTATTTTTATTTATTATTATTTTTTTTATTATTGTTGTTGTTTAATTTGAACAACAATATCACATCAATAACATGAATGGATGATTTGTTGTTATTCCTAATGAATGTTGAATTTTTAATCAGAGTGCTTTTCAAAATTTAATTCCTTCCAAATGCAAATATCTTCTTCTTGGGTAGGTGAATTTTAATTCTCATATATCCTATTAAGTTGAGAACATCTCACTTCTTCTATACATAATTTTACATTTTTGGGGAATTTACATTGTCATTCTTAATATCTAATGATATTAATTCAAAATTTTACAGAGAGGCGACAAGCAGAAGCTGCTAGAATCCGAGAGAAGTACCCTGATAGAATCCCGGTATTGAAGAATTCATTTTTTGCGTTTGAGACTTGTAGGGTACCTGATATTTCATCTTGTCCTTCTACTTGTTCTATTCTTATTATCTGCTTCTGTTATTCAGGTTATTGTGGAGAAGGCAGAAAGAAGTGATATACCAGAAATTGACAAGAAGAAGTCAGTTATCTTCAATATCTTTTTGATACTTGGTTCTAGTTGTTGAAAATATCTATGGTTAAATGTGTTTAAATTTTTATACTGCCAATATTCTTTTCGTTGTTCTGCTTTTCAGTTGGCATAGTTTTGGAAATAAAGCTGATCTCATTACTATTGTTATAGTTACGGCCTGTCTATCAAATTCCGCTTTTGCCTTTTGATTTGGTCATCATCCTTTTGTTATTTTTGGATTGTTTTTATTTTATTTTATTTAGAGTTGGGTTTGTATTAATGGGTTGGCGCAAGCCCTTAGCTTTAGGTTTGTTGGCTTGTTAGTTATTTATTTTATGTTTTATTAGTTTAATTGGGTTGTATTTATAGGCTGGCCCTAGGCCCTTTTATGCTTTAGGATTGCTCGTGTTCTCCTATGTATATGGATGTGTACTTTAACTTGAAGGAGGTTGATGAATTAACGAAATAAATTTGCTTGGTGATCAAGTTTTCCTCCCTTTCTCTTGATTCTTCCCCTTCTGGTTTTCTCCTCAAGTCTTCTTCCCCCTTTCTCTCTGGTTCCTCCTCCCCCCTTTTTGCTGCCTTTCTCCTTCTCTTCCTCTTCTCTGCAACTTCATATCCTGCTGCTTACATATATGATCGCTACTTGCTAAATTAACTATTAAATGATTTAAGTGATTCCTAAGTTCAATCCATTGATTCTACATCACTTTTGCTTCTTGTAGAAGAGTTTCATGCGAAAACTATCTTTGTTGGTTTTCGGAACTTAATTTCTGAAAAAGCTTCCTCTTCCGAAAGAGCTTTTAGAGGAAGCTACATTGGGCAATCTTCCTCTATAAACTCTTCTAAACGGAAAAAAAAAAAAAAAAAAACACACTTTTATAAAATTAACCTAATGGGTCCAAAAGCAACTTCCAAAAGCTTCTTTTGGCTTCTCAAAAGTCATGCCACATGGGCCTCTTACTGGACAGATCCTATGAGTGGTATGGTTGCAGATAGATTTTAGGGTACATGAATTATGGTTCTAACATACCACATATTGAAGAGATAGGTTTTATGGGGCCTTACTGAACAGATCCTCTGAGTGTTATAGTTGCTGATAGGTTTTATGGTACATGAATTATTGTTATAACATACGACATATTGAAGATGGGCATCTTTTAAAGACCTTTCTACATGTATACCAAGGTTTACATAAGGGATTATATAATGCTGTACTCTACCATTTGCTAGTTTAAAACACAGTTAACTTTTTCATCAAGTATTTTCCCTCTACATCATTTTCAGTAATCACTTATGTATTATTTTTATGTACAAGTAGCAAAATCTATCTTTTAAAGTTTTGTGGTGACAACAAACTCCTACCCAGCATCCCAGCCCAACAACCGCTATTTCTATCCCTGCAGCATTTCTCTCTCTCTCTCTCATTGTTGGTGGTGTCAATGTTTTTGAAGTGTAAAGCAGGCCTTTTCTTCCCAATTTTTACAATTGATTTGGCATAGGATGCCAGTCAATTGTAAACTGTGTAACCGTGTAAGCCCTTAAATTGCTTTTCTTCGTTCTTTTTCTTACTAATAACTCAAAAAATAACAGGTTCGATATGATAGATGCAGTCATTCAGTTAAATTTCCCTCATTAACTCATACGCAATATTTTCAATCTTGATTTATACAGATATCTGGTTCCTGCTGATCTGACCGTTGGACAATTTGTCTATGTTGTCCGAAAGAGGATTAAGCTCGGTGCTGAGAAGGCAATTTTTATCTTCGTCAAGAACGTTCTTCCTCCAACTGGTGAGTACAACATTCAATAGTTTTGACGTTGCACAAAATATTTCTGTTGTTTTCGAGCATTTTATTGTTCGTGCTATTGCAGCTGCTATGATGTCTACCATTTACGAGGACAATAAAGATGAGGATGGTTTCCTATACATGACTTACAGCGGGGAGAATACATTTGGAACATACTGATGAGGAAGTTGAGTTGAAACATGTATAAATTCCCTTTAATAATCCTCTGGATACTATCGCTACTTTGTTTATCGAATGTTTATATTTTGCTACTTTTGTTATGGATGTTCTGCTTCCTTATTTATCTATACATTTGGAAGTTTAAGCTTATTGTCTTCAAGAAAGATCATTTGTAAGGACAATGCTATATGCATATAATTTTTTTTTTCTAATCATTTACTCATAATAGGAGGTGGGACCATATTTGGGAATTTCTATATTCAAGCGGGGCCTCTGTGTGTTGTGAGAAGGGGGACAAATTTCGGTACCCACAATTCGGTACAAATAGAATTATTCAAGAAATAATCCTTGATAATATAACAAATGAGTTTTTAGAATAAATTTATGAAGACTTAATAATGTTAAATACTTCAAGTCGAATATACACTGCCAAGCACTCGGTAACATATATCAAAATTTCTTTTAATTTTATCCTCTTTAAAATAATTATTTTCAAATTTACTCTAAAAAGGAATGAATCTTGAACGAGTAAATTTAACCAATAATCACTGAACTTTACACTTGATTACTACTTGCTCACTCATCTTTCACAGATTACTGAATGATCACTCATCTTTTCATATAATTACTCATTCACCACTCGTCTTTTCAAATAATTGGACGACTTTTACAGCAAATTTTCGACGACTTCCGACCACAAAGAATGTCGAATTTTGATACCGTTGGAAAGCCCACGATATCCTCTTCAATTACCACCCAAAATCTCATTATAACTCCAAGGGATTCGATCGAAAAATTGTCTTAAAAGTTGCCCAAAAATTTTGAAAATCTGCCCAGATTTTCAGATTTGTTGGACGACTTTTAAGGCAATTTTTCGACAACTTTCGACCATCAAAACTATCGAATTTTGATACCATTGGAACACAATGTTCTCTTCAATTACCATTCAAAATTTCCCCATAACTCCAAAGGGTTCGGTCGAAATAAACCCATAAAATCAGCATCTTGAAAATGCGAAAATCTGGACAAAGTTCGGGATGCTGACTTTGTGAGTTTATTCCAATCGAATCCTTTGGAGTTATCGGGGAATTTTGAGTGGTAATTGAAGAGGACATTATGGGCTTTTCAATGGTATCAAAATTAGATAGTTTTGATGGTCGAAAGTTGTCGAAAAATTGCCTTAAAAGTCGCCCAAAAAATTTGAAAATCTGGGCAGATTTTCAAAATTTTTGGGCAACTTTTAAGGCAATTTTTCGATCGAATCCCTTGGAGTTATAATGAGATTTTGGGTGGTAATTGAAGAGGATATCGTGGGCTTTCCAACAATATCAAAATTCGACATTCTTTGTGGTCGGAAGTTGTCGAAAATTTGCCGTAAAAATCGCCCAATTATTTAAAGAGACGAGTGGTGAATGAGTAATTATATGAAAAGATGAGTGAGCATTCAGTAATCTATGAAAGATGGGTGAGCAAGTAGTAATCAAGTGTAAAGTTCAGTGATTATTGGTTAAATTTACTCAATCTTGAACAATTATCTTTAAACACCTACTTTCAATTTTACCTCTCTAAATCGTTTATCCAAACAAATGCTTTTTTTTTTTTTGGTTAATATACAAGTAATTTTATTCTTTTGAACTTTTTTTTAAAATGACTCGATAATAAAATTTGAAGCATGAATAAGATTATTTTTAAAATTGTTACGAAAAATATCGAAAATTATTTAGTCCCTATTTGTCATACTTTAACAAATTAAATTATTTACTATAATAACATTTTACATCATACATTCACATCATAAAATATTCTACATACAAATTAATAAAGTTTATTAATTTTAACTGCACATTTAAATAAAAAATAAAATTCAAAACTCTATAATTCCTCTAATGACGGGAGACAAACGGGCTATTACGGGGCATTTTTCTAAATGGCCTATCACTATTCATTCTTGCTAAAATGTCTATATTACCCTTAATGAAATTGTTTGCCATATTTTTCACAAAATATCCAAATTTATTGGAATAGTTTCAAAATTCTTCTATTTCTCTTATTTCGAATTTTAATATATAATTCCATCATTTGATCTAATAAATTAGCATAATCTGTAATATAATTGTCATATAATTCTTGAAGATTATCATATTCCTTAGATGATATATCCATAGTCTCTAGTTGAGAAAAAATATTTTTTATTTTTTCTAATAGTCTTTCTAACAGATTATCTAATCCTTTGATTGTATAGCCTGGCATCATATAGATTATTCCTTACAAGCTTTATGATAAATAATAATAACATGATAGATAAATTTTTGCAAACATGATAAGTAATCATCCCTACGATTCTTTCAAGATATTAGAAGAATTCTTTCTAAATTTAACAAAGACAATAATTTTACCATACTTTTGATCTTAAATCTGTATTCTTAGATTCGAGTGACTTTCAGGCTCTGAATCTGCAAACTGCTCCCTCAAACGGCCTTTTGCCTTAATGGAAATTTTGCTATTTCAATTTCTTGCCCTCACTGTATCTTTTCTTAGAATTAAGAATAAGGATCTTAAGTAGAGAAATTATCTCTTTATTAAAGTAAGAAAGAAATTATCTTCTTCAATCTGTCAAGAATCTACGGGATAGAAAGCTTAGAAACTCATATTTTTCTGATATCAAAATATTGGAATTTTATTTCTATAATGATTTATACAAGATTTATATTGTATACAAGGGGTTTCCAGAAAAACTGATTTTAAAGAAAGTTTAAGGAAAGAGAATGGTTTCTAACTCGTGATGCCCCATTCTTTCCCCAAAGACCTCTATTTATACATGAAACTTGCTATTATTAGTATATTACATCATTGCATACATCAGAATTTGAAAAAGGCTCACATGCCTTTATATTCTTTTCCTCCTGGGGTCTACATTTTCACATGCGTTTTTTTCTTTTTCATCAAAGGGACATCTTTTCCTCTATTATTGCATCTCCATCTTTGGCTCCATATACAGGTGGCTAGATACTTTGGTAGTGGTAGGTCCCCTTCCATTCATCTTTTAGCAATCTTTTTAGTCTTGTCTGCATGTGGGGCACTCTCTCAATCTGCATAATTCTTGGATTGTTGTAGGACTTCCATTAATTTGATGAGTATCAAATTTCTGGATATATTCTTTCAAAATAGTAGATTTTTCTTTTCCATTATTCGTAAGGAGTGTCCATCCTTCATATTGACACAAGCATCTGAATTTTTTATCATATAAGTTTTTTGCAATATTGTAAAGAACTTTCATCCCCAAAGCTCTTCGGAATTTTATCCATGATTTATTGATTTTGGGCAATGGTTTATTATTTCGGCCAACTTCAATCTGAAAATCTCGGCCAAAATATCCAATTGTGATAATATGTTCAGTAGGATAGTATATTTTTTCATCAACCTCGGGACTTATTGAATAAATTTGATATAAATCGATCTCCCTTGGGCAAATTTTGAACTTCTGCCCTGAATATATCATTAAATTTTTCAATTTCTTTTAGATCTTTTCCTGGATAGATTAAATCCAGAAATCCATAACCTGTTGCCATTTTGACCATGAAAGGGTCTGCATTTTTGGTAATTATTAATCTGGGATAAACATGATTTCCTGATGCAATAAAATATGATTCATTTTATTCCAATTCATAAACAATTTTGGCAAATGATCTATATTTTTCTTCTTTTGATGATAAAGGGGTATCATCATCTTCATCAGTTTTGATCCTGATAACTCTTGTATGTTCATCACCATTTTTTATAGTCACCTTCCAGGGACTTGCTATATCTCGTTTGATATTGCTTGGTCCATTGCTGCTTCCTGGCTGTGTACATGTTTGTATTTTTGAGATTGTATCTATTGGTATTTCCTATTTGGTATTTAATGACTCAAATTGTGAAGTAATATCATCAATTTTATCATTCCATTCTTTGGTATATTTGAAATGAGAATTAGAGACTTCCACCAGCAATTTGACATTTTGTTCGATAGATTCTGCCATTTGCTCTAATTGATCAATTCCAATTTTCATATCTTCTGATTCCTCCATGAGGAATTTCATTCGTCTTTTGACGTCTATTAATGAATTTTTGATATTATCCATCTCCAAATTCGATATTCCTACTCAAAAATTCTTCAAGATAATTATTTATTCCTTTAATATAAACAATATCAAAATTGTAGAATGATAAATATGCTTGTCATCGGTATAGCCTTCTATATTGAGGTTCCATAGGTAACTTATTTCTAATAAGTCTTACAACTTGAGAATTATTATTTTCAACAATAATTTTTTTAGATAAAAGGAATAATGAAAACTTTTTTATTCCTCTAATAATTGTTAAAAAATCTTTTTCATGAGTAGGATAATTTATTTCTGCTTGATTAAAAGTTCCACTTGAATATCTGCATATTTCATTTAAATCTGTTTTTAATATAGCTGCCCAATATTTATTTGAGACATTGGTATTAAAATTAGATTATCTTTTTCATCTGGTAACCTTAATTTTGGTAGATTTTTACATTCTTCTTTTAATGATTTAACAATTTCAGTATGTTCTTTATTCCAACCTTTAGTATTTGTTTTCCTAAGTAAAATTTGTATCTTATGTCTCTTTTTTGCGAGATTTTCAATAAATCTTTCAGCATAGTTTAAACATCCTAAAAAATTTTGTATTTGTTTTTTGGATTTTAATTCATTTGAAAAGCTTTCTATCTTTTTAGATATATGATTCTGTAATTTTATTCATTTTCTATCTATTGATAATTCCAAAAAATCTATTTCTTGTTTCTCAATTATAGATTTCTTTTTAGAAAGTACAATTCCTTCCTTTTTGCATTCATTTATGAATTATAATAAATGATTCCTATTTTTTTTTTTATTATTAGAGCATATTAGTATATCATCTATATAAACAATAAGAAAATCACTAAACTTTTTAAATATATTATCCATTTTCCTTTGAATTATTTGAGATGCATTTTTTAAATCAAATGACATAACTAATCATCCATATTTTCCTTGAGGTGTGCTAAAAGCTATATATTGTATATTGTCTTCTTCCATTTTTATTTGCCAAAATCCTGATTTACAATCAAATTGGAATAATATTGTTTTCATTTTGCAAGGT